CTTCATTAAAAAATACTGGAGTCATTTCTTGAAAACTTTGCTTGTTTTCACTCTCTATGTGAGGAATATTCTGTAAAAATGTCAAGCCATGATGTTGGTTTGGTCCCCTTTCAAAAAATAAAATAGGAACGAATATTTTGAAATCCTGCAACCAAGATACGCACTTTTGCTGTTTCACCGTCGAAATATTACTCCTCAATGGTAGCCAAAAAAATGTGACTTTCGAAGACCTCCGGCATCATATATCGAAGGAAAAATTTCCAGCTTTCAAAGTCTTCACTCAATTAGAGAAATTACCCTCGATATCATCAGCAATGAAGTAGGTAACATTAATTTAGGAGCTACTTTTATACTCAACTGTGGATGGGATGAAGTGATCTGGATGCTTGTTTTTGGGGATGGATGAATAAAAACAAGGAGCTTCATCCTATTTTAAGTAACTTGTCTTCAGCTTCCGGAATCCCCGCTTAAAATTATCCGGTGTAATTGTAAGAAAGGGAGTGACACCATGCTGTACCACCAAGAAAATAATATTTTCGTTCTTAGACTCATGCAGAAGTTCTGAAGACTCCAACTGTAAAAACATACAGAACCGTAGGAGGAAGATCCTGAAGAGCCTCACTGGGAATGTGAATCAGCATGTGTTGATTAGGATTTTCTCCTATACTGACTGGAGAGGGTACGGCAGGTGCGTCGCGTGAATGTCCTTATCTTTATTGAGAAATTGTATGGGCTTAAAAATGAATAAAATAGCTCATTGTAGATGCTCCTGTTAACATCATTCCTACCGTGGACGGCCAAACTGATCACCCTCTTAATTATCTCGTATCATTTTTGTGTAAAAGATTTTTTTTACATTTCATTTAGATTCGTTTTGTTGACTAAAAATGCGTATGAATTGATACCTGCCTCTCTTGTCATCACACGTGATTATTTTTCTCATAAAAATTCACACTCCTTGCCTTTCAAATTTTGCCGACATCTTAGACTTCGGGCACCAATTTTGACCGGGGGGCTTTTTTGACTTCAATAATGAAATGTACGACCAAAATTACATAGGAAATGACATATCACTTGCCTTACCACGTAAAAATTTGAAAAAATGCACCCTCCTGCCTTTAAAATTTGGCCACCATCTTGAATTTGAGGCACCAATTTTGACCGGAGGACTGTTTTGACTTCAGTAATGAAATCTACGACCAAAATTACATAGGAAATGACATATCATTTGCCTTATCGCGTAAAAGTTTAAAAAATGCACCCTCCTGCCTTTCAAATCTGGACGCCATCTTGGATTGGGGGCACCAATTTTGACCGGGGGGTTGTTTTGACTTCAAATATGAAATCTGCGACCAAAATTACATGGACAACGATACCTCACATGACAGGATATGCACAAGTGAAAATACCGATATTCCGGAGGCCTTTTTATGGGCGCCATTTTGAATTTTAGGCATTTTGAGGGGTGCTCCGGGATCGGACAGTGCTAGCATTTTAGGATACTGTTTGAGAGAACCTATTAATGACGTTTACACAGGTTTTGATCACATTTTACATTGTTAACGGCGTTCTCACGATGATCCAACGCGAAAATTCGGCAAAACATAGCGAAATCAGGGCCCCCTGCCCCCCCGGCCCCCATGGCCTCAGAATTTTGGGCTCACTTGCGAAATTGAACCTTCTATAGGTAAAGATGATATCCTGAAAGTTTCATGCTTTCTTCCAGAAATGCACGATTCTGGGAACTTTTCCCCCTTATCCGCCCTACTATTGAAATTAATTGTGTCCTGGCGTGCCAAAACCGTTCAAGTCTATTTTTCAGCTTAGAGTTTTTCTTTTGTCCATGCCATCTTAAAGTAGTGTCAAAACTTGTTTTGTAATGAAAGTCCCCTTTAAATGAGTCTTTGCTTCACTTCGAAGAATGTACTTAACCTTGAAAAGTAGTCAACTTAGTCAACTATGAGCATATCATGTAACTAAAACCAAACTAGGGTTAAAATGTGCCCTAAAGTCTCCTTGATAACATATCAAGAGATCGTTTAAGTTAGACGATGTGCTCGGTGTCAAAAAAGCCTCAGAGCGATAGAAGTACAGGCATTTTTCGCTAAAATGCACCTGCACTCCTGCAGACGTATGTTCAGGCAACTGTTTAACTTGTATCCAGTGGCCTATGGACCAAATTATGATTATTTCTGTAAACTGCGTTGAGTCAACTTGGGAAACCCCCATAAATTTCCAGGTTCTGGGGGGGGGGGGCAAAAAAGGCCCTTATGGATATCTTTCCTTTGAAGCCTTCAATTTACCATATGCCTAAAATCGTACGAGTATTCAAAATAATGATATTCCAGGAACTTAGGCATTATCGAGGAAATTTCTTTATAATGATATAAAGTAATCTAATACCGGCAATTTGCCTATTTTAGCCCTGAAATACCTTCAAGCGACTTTATATTCCAGGAGCTGGACAGAATTTTTTTCTTTTTGGCTTTAATGACTTGGTAGAGACTCAATTTCAAGAATCTGAAGAGTTTTTGCTTTTAAATCGTAAAAGAATTTAATTACGGGAGAATGTTGGTCACAAAAATTTGGCGAAATCACGTCCTGTGACCACTTTAAATAATTAAGGGGGAATCTTAAAAGTTATGCTGTAAATTGTGATATTTTCTTCATTTTGTACTTTCAAAAATGTGTTACTTTAGAAAATGTCAAAGCCATAGCAACATTTTGAAGGTAGAAAATAGGCACTTTGTGCTGAAAGAATGTTACGAAAAACGAGTGAAATCGCACGATGTGGCCACTTTGAAGGGACCAAAGGGCATTCTAAAAGTTATGAGGTAAATAGTGTTTTTTTTTTTTTTTCGGAAGGTACGTGAAAAAGTGTGTTACGTTAAATAACTTCAAAGCGGTAGAAACATTTAAAGGAGGGAAAAAAATTCGCTGTATGACGGAAAAACCGCAATTTTCCAAATTTTGAAGTTCCTGCTCATCGGCCTTATCGGCCGCTGCGGCACCACTTGGGATGATCAGATTGGGCTGAAATATTTTTCAGGTTTTTATTTCATTTCACACGAAAAGACATATTCATAGGGGATCAGACATTTGATTTTCGAAAAGTCCAAGAATAAGTACCACCATAAACAGCAAGCTTGGAAAAGGACTACGTGCAAAACGGGCCATTTGGGGCTCGGGGAGGATACCTTTGAGACTTGCCCTTTTCATTCACCTAACAAAGCCCCATCTTTCCTCAAAGTTTCAAGCCCCCCAAAAATTTTGGGGAGACGCGGCGGGGGGTCAAAGTTAAAAACCGGCAAAATTTTCGCGAATTTATTACTCGAAAACCAAGAAGTTTTGGAAAACGCGGTTTAAACGAGCGTATTCAGCGTGACGAGAGCTTTCAGAAAATGTATAACATCATAGGGTTTTGTCAACTTCAGCTCGAGTTATCGCCTCCGAAGCGCCGGAACACTCAAAAAAGACCCCTTATTTTTTCACGTTTGGGCCGATTTAAAAAAAAGCCATTTTTTTATTTTGATGAAAAACTGAAATGTTGTTCCTGACTCTCTGTAGCCCCTCTAGCTCTTTACCGCATGCTGGGGAAATGTTTAGGTCGCGAGTTATAAGAGCGGAATGGAGCGAAGGTCGGGAAAATCGGCTATTTTAAACTGCGCGCGGCGACGGATCAGGAGACATGTGGCAACAATGCGAGGTCGGCAGAGGAGTGTGATTCGCCGACCTGAAGTGGGAGGGGACGTTTTCCCTCCGATCATCGCCGCGCCCGCAGTTTAAAATAGCCGATTTTCCCGACCTTCGCTCCATTCCGCTCTTATAACTCGCGACCTAAACATTTCCCCAGCATGCGGTAAAGAGCTAGAGGGGCTACAGAGAGTCAGGAACAACATTTCAGTTTTTCATCAAAATAAAAAAATGGCTTTTTTTTAAATCGGCCCAAACGTGAAAAAATAAGGGGTCTTTTTTGAGTGTTCCGGCGCTTCGGAGGCGATAACTCGAGCTGAAGTTGACAAAACCCTGTGATGTTATACATTTTCTGAAAGCTCTCGTCACGCTGAATACGCTCGTTTAAACCGCGTTTTCCAAAACTTCTTGGTTTTCGAGTAATAAATTCGCGAAAATTTTGCCGGTTTTTAACTTTGACCCCCCGCCGCATCTCCCCAAAATTTTTGGGGGGCTTGAAACTTTGAGGAAAGATGGGGCTTTGTTAGGTGAATGAATAGGGCAAGTCTCAAAGGTATCCTCCCCGAGCTTCAAATGGCCCGTTTTGCACGTAGTCCTTTCTTAGTGGTGAAATTTTTGTAGAGATTGCATCTCACTTTAAACAGTTATGAAGAGCTTTTCCTTGAAAAGTCAACTGTCTTATTTATGTGAAGCAGCCTCTATTTAGATGTAACTAACATTTAATGTTACTTATTCTTTTCTAACAGAAACCATAATGGACCTGTAATCATAGCATCTCCTGAAGGAGGAATGGATATTGAAACTGTTGCTGAAGAGACTCCGCACCTCCTCAAAACAGTACCTGTCGACATAAATGTTGGGCTCACCAACTCTATGGCTAATGAAATTGCGGAGTTCCTGCTCTTCAAAGGAGATATGAAGTCCAAGGTTTGTGCCTTTTCAATCAGCTAAAGAATCTCTAAATTTTTTATTTTTTTACTTTAAATCTATCTCCAGACAAGCACGCATGCTAATTATATTGCAGTGGTATCGGTTAAAGACCTGCGAGGTCCTTACCGATTCACTTGGAGGAAGCTGGTTTGGGGATATGGCAAGTCGTGAGATATCGCGGTTTTCCATGCCAGTGACAGGGTCAGGCGTGTTAGATGCGAGTTTTTGAGACGCGATTGTTTATGTCCACGCGCGGAGCTTCCGGCACCCGGCGATTCGGAAGTCGGAGTTGGGCACGAAAGCTTCGGGCGTTGGCATAAAAGCTCGCGGAAGCCGCTCGTACGAGGTTAGTCGATGTGTGGTTCTAAAACCGGGAAAACCTGGTCCAGCCCTTGTTAGAGCAGCTGAGTCAGAGAATAAAGTGTAAGTTGTGAAATATAAAGTGTGGTTCCACTTTCCCCCATAGGGTTTCCACTGTAATATTTATTGAAGAACTAGGGATGACCTCCTCTGACCGCTTTGCAGTCCAACCCTTCAAAGCCCTCTTCAGACGTTTTGTGTGTATGTTACCTTTACGATTTTATATTATAGAGAATGATGAGTGCAAATATGGTAGATTATTGGCTTAAAATTTCCAAAAGGAGAGTAATAATAATAATCTCAAAAATAATAAAATTATAATAGTAAATGATTTTGTAATTCTTTATTTTACCCCAATGAGTCTTGGGAATGTTGGGAAAACAAACTGAGCGCACCAAGATGGTAACTTAGGATTGAAAGAAAAAAGGCCAGGCAGGAAATCGGGAGAGGCACCCAGTCTATCAAAGGGAATGCTTCTAAGAAGCTAAGAGCAAAGAACCCATGCATTGATGAATGAAGACAACGGGAAACCTTACAAGCAATTTTGATACACTGAGGCAGAAGTTAAAAGTCCAAGCTGCCCGACTCAGAGGGTTCAAAAAATCATACCAGCGCCATTTAGATAACATTCTGTTTCAGTGGAGTGAGAGAGCCTTTTATCGGAGGACAGGAAAAGTAGATGTGAGAAATGCCCTCGAGAAATTACTATCAAAAGATGATGTAACGCAATTCTAGCAATCCATCTGGTCAGAAGCCATGGAGCATAACAGTACAGCTCATCATATTCAATAATAAAACTAATTACACAGCCGGTAACAAGGCTAATTTACAAATAAATATCATCAGAACGTCTCGGCTGAAAACTCAGTCTTCCTTGGTAAGATAAAACAGTAAAAAAATGTAAAAATCCTAAAACGTAGTACTTGGCTGTACCTTTCAAAGCGAGAACAATGTTGTTATCTATCAATGTTGTGATAAGAACATTGTTTTCGCTTTGTAAGGCACGGCCAAGTACTACGTTTTTACATTTTTACATTTTTTTACTGTTTTATCTAACCGAGGAAGGCTGAGTTTTCAGCCGAAACGTTTTGGTGATATTTACTTGAAGCCTTGTTACCTGCTGTGTAATTTGTTTTATTATTGCATATCTTGTCACGGGCTGCGGAGCATCAATCATAGCTCCTTGGATTGAGGAGGAAACAGTGTGTTATGCCCACATTACAGATAAAGATGAGGTGAAAATCATGAAGGAAGATGTACAGCGAGCAACATTCCATACTCATAACTGAAAGGCACCCGGACCAGACGAAGGTTACAATTTCTGGCTGAAGAAGCTAAAAAGTGCACAAGAACAGCTTGCCAAGAGTATCCAGGATAAATCTGATAAAATGCCTTTATAACTAACAGAGGAAGTGATGTTTGCAAAACACAAAGGAGGCGATTCCCAGGACCCATCTGAGAGCAGACCGTTCACATGTCTCTCCACCCTCTAAACAGTTATCACATCCATTGTAACCCAATAAATTGAGGGGTATGTAGCCAAATGGAAAATTTTGTGTGAAGAGCAGAAAGGATGTTGAAAAGGAACCTTCGGATGCAAAGAGCTGTTAATAATTGATCCTCTTGCGCTCAAGCAGGCTGAGAGGGAACATTGAAACTTACATGTGGGTTACTTCGAATACCAAAAAGCTTTTGATTCAATGCTGCATAGCCGGCTAATCCACGTTTTGAATATCTACTGGGTCCATCCTGTCATTGTTCAGTTCCTGAGGAGCATTATGGCATCTTGGCGCACAAAAATCATCATTCAAGGATCAGCGAGTAAATTGGAGACTGAAGTCATCCACATCCTGCGTGGTATTTTTCAAGGTGACAGTCTCAGTACATTGTGGTTTTGTTTGGGCCTCAATTCCCTCTCAAATTGCATTAAAGAAAGGTAGATTACTCTTCTAAAGAGAAGTAGATCTCTTCACTTTGGAACAGACAAGTACTCCATCTTATCAACCACCTTGCCTACTTCAGTGATGTTAAGATCTATGCATCCGAGAGAAACCAGTTGGATCAACTCTTCAAGTTGATTGAAGTGGTCAGTGATGATATTGGCATGACGCTAGGAATGCCTAAATGCGCAACGCTTCATATGAAAAACGACGTTACAGTGCGGGAGACTAATATTGTCACCAACGACGGTGATGTCATCAACAGCTTGACGATAGAAGGTGTTCAAAGTAGCGCTGTTTTTTCCTTCCGGTCATATTGGTGCCCATTTAATCGCATCTTAAGAAGTTGACATGTCATGCCAATGTAAATGACATCACACTCGGGAGCACTTGATTTTGTAAACTACCCCTGACTCATTGAGAGGAGGACTAGAAGGAAAAAACTGCGCTACATGCCCACCAAGAAGCGACGGGCCATGTTTTCGATTTCAAAAATGTGGCAATTTTGGATAGAGAAAAAAATGATTTCAAGAGATCAGTGCTGGAGATGATACACATTTTAAAGAATAAAGAGCACCTTTGTAATTTTAGGGCTGATATCGATAAGCTAAGTGTAGTGTATCATCCATTTTTCCAGCGTGACCTGTCTACTTTCGGGCCACCGTGTAATCAGCCATAGCGAGAAAAATCTTTCGGTGACCCGGTAATCAGGCGATCGGACAGTCTGTGTACGATATAATCAGTCCGGCCGGAGCCATGTAACAGATCCATGACGATCATTTTGGCTTCATTTTCCTTTTTTTTAAATATTCGGCTGATGATTGGAGCTGTTCAGCCCCGAAACGTTCCGTAATATATTTTAAACTTGTTTTTAGCCTTGAGCCTGTACCAATTTTGTGTTTCTTATATATAATGTTCGGGCTACGAAAATTTATCTCATCATATATATATATATACATTTAGGAATCATGCCGTGTAAGGTATCGATCATTCTGTATTTCTAGTCGTAAAACCTGATTTCGCGGTTTAGAATAATCCTCAACATCAGGGTAAGGCCTGAAGCCAATAAGGCGGCTGAAATCATTGTTCGGGGTCAATGTGAATCGTTGCATCATGCAACATTAGGTACACAATGAGGTGTCATTTGTCAGGTTCTTAGGGTTGCAAAATTCGCGATGGTTAATTTTTCGTTCTTATTACTGAGAGACTACTATTCTTAGACCTTTAGAAACAATATAAAACTGATATTCGACTTTATTATCTCTCTCTATTAATAATTTTTTGAAATTTTAGTGTCAGTAGTATTAATTCTGGATTTTTCATGTTTCCTTGATCCTAAAATGTATGATTTTCCATCACAGGTTGTGAATCAGATTAAGAATCTTTATGATATGTTTGTAAAACTTGATGCTGTTCAAATAGAAATCAATCCTCTGGTTGAAACCGACAAGAATAATGTGATTGCTGTAGATGCCAAAATACAACTTGATGATAATGCTGAGTTTCGCCAACGAGAAGTATTTAAATTAGATGATATCTCTGAATCAAACCCTTTAGAAGTACGAGCTGCCCAACACAATCTGAATTACGTCAGTATGGATGGAAGCATAGGTTGTCTTGGTTAGTATTATTCTTTTATCTGAATAGTTTTTGTCTCTCTGATCTGACTTGTACACATAGTGCGTCCCACATGTAAGTATACTAATGGTATAACTGAATCAGTACTTTTAAAAAAGGTGGAGGTTCAATTTTTCAATTTTTCTCTTTTTTAAATTTATTTTTGACGCCCTGTTTACGTGACATTCGCATTCCAGTAACAGTGATACTGAACGGGATTTAAATTGAAGTTGGTAGGTAGTAAAAGTTTGAGTCAGAATTTCAAGAGGAGCATCACCAGGTATTAAAAACCACCATTCCGAAATTGGTTATCGGAGCTCCTCGATATCCTCGCGATTTTATGGTTTTTTCAGGCTTCCTTTGGAAAAAGGTTTGTCTAGGGCAATTTAATTCCCCCCTCACCTTATTTCTTTTTGGATTGATCTCAATTTTTAGTATGTTATTTTCCGGTATGAGGTATAATTTTTCTAAAAATTTTCCTGACAGGGAAAATTATTTCGCTACCATTGCAATGCTGCAAAGTTTCCAAAATACTAATAGATGTGGCAAAAAAATGATGGCATTGGCCTCCTTCCTCTTGGATTGATCTGAATTTTTAGTATGATAATCTCCGTTTTCGTATTAAAGGAAATGACTTCAATCCACTGATCTATCAATTCACTTTTGTTATAAAAACATGCTTTAACAAATTCTGGATATGTTTTTTTCTCTTGGAAATTGTGTTTCATGGGCGACCAAGAAACAATCATCAGTAACGGAGTTATTTTTTGGCTTTTGTGACCAAAAACGAAGTTGAAGTATGTAAGTTTTTGAAGATATTTTTTTAAAAAGTTTGAAAGCTAACAATTTTCCTCCAATCTTTTTTTTCTTCTTTCACTTGAGGTCGACTCATTGTCTACTTTTCTACAAGATCCTTTCCACCCAAAATAAACTAGTCCCGCCAACTATTTAATCTTTTTTTTTATTTAATGCACTTCCAACCTCTCCTATGAAAAGTATTCGAAGAACCTTTATCATCGACTTGAAATCGCGGCACAAGCCCGATGGGGATATTTTCGCGGGGTTATCACCATTTTCAGTGCGAGTTTTTCCCTAGTAGTGCGCCATCGTAAATATGACGCAAATTCGAACAATCGCGGCGGGAATTTCAAATTCAAAATGCGGCGCAAAACTGGACATTTCGTGAAGTCAAATTAACCGAATCAATCACGATTAATTTCTCAAACCGATTACGATTACGATGAAAAAAATTAATCGCGATTACGATTACTGTTCGATTAATCGCACAGGTCTATTTGCTATTGGTCCGATTTTAATCAACTTTTTTTTAATGGATGGTGATTTCTAGGAGGACAATTTTATGTCTGATCAATATTCTTGTTGGACTTAAATTTTTTCTCTCAACTGGGAAAAATTAAAATTTTTTGAATTTTGGCATCCTAAACGACCGACGCGACCCTTCAATGCGCCGTATTCTAGTTGCTGTGCGATCGATTTTAGTCAATTTTTTTATAAGCAGATAAATTCATGGAGAATCAGCTCTTAAAATAAATATACCGTCAACGTGATAATAATTTGTAGGTAGATAATGCCTATCGGGCGAATAAATATGAGTGTTCCGTTATTTAAAGTAGACGTTGGCTTGATTTAGGTTTAATTGAATGCCAAAACCAAATTTGTGTGATGAAAAACAAACCCACAAGAGCAATTTAAGTGAAACGCGACGGAGCGCGTCACACGACGCGTGATCCGTGTGGGGTCGTTGACGCCCTTCACTGTCTTGTAATTAGGTTGTTACTAGATCCATTAAGATCATTTCGTTCTAAGCTCGAAGAAACTGAAGTCAAAGCTTTGCCTCATAGGACAGATATGGAAAAGTACATTTAAGTCGTTCAGTTTCACACCACATCATCTCTGCGTGACCAAAATTAAACCCATGACAGCAATTTCATTTCTTTCACAAAGTTCATTGCATTACTATAGAATATCACAGTGGAACAAAAAAAATGACACAAACATCTGCGAGACGAGATAAGGTGATCCTCATTTATTTTGAGGCGCTGAATTTGGAAATGACCTCTTAATACTATCTTATGTTCAGCATTCAATGTATACACAAAGTATTTGTATAAAAATTTTGATTTGTTCAACACTAAATTTTTCAGAACAGTGAGTTCTCTCGGACTTAACTACCTAATGTGTTATGACAAATTGTTTTTGAATGATACATTTCTGCATTTTGCAGATCTGAAAGTATAACTTACTTACTTATTGGTGTCATGAGTGATGTTAATATGAGTTGTTTTTTCTTTGTAAATAGAAACTCTAAAAATAATTACTAAAAGGGCTTGAAACATCTCAATATTATTGTCCTAAACATTATCATCGCCTCTTTGATCATTGCCAGCCAGGTTGGCCTAGCGGTCAGCGCGTCTGACTCTAGACCAATAGGTCCCGGGTTCAAATCCCGGTGGTGGCCACAAATTGTCAAGGAACTGACGTGTGGATCTGCAGAAACAGATTCGACTCGGCCTTAATCCCTGAAAATTTGAAAGCCGGAGCATGGATGTCCCTATTGCGCTGTTGATTAAGGACATTAAATCTCTGTCTATAGTTGGCTGTAGACCTCTGAGAAGAGAGGTATAAGCCATTAAACCTAAAAAAAGAAAAAATGTATCATTACTCCAACCTATCAATTACTGGAGTCTTGCAAAATTTCCTAGAAGTTTTTTTAGGGACCGATGATAATATTACACACAGCTGATTGCTGTTTAATAAATATCATTGATTGATTTACTCATTAATTACTTGAGGTTGGTTGTTTAACGATCATTTAAGGGTGGATTTCAGCTATTGGGAGAAAATATGGGGAAGACGTGTAACTGGTTGCTCAAAACTTTCAATTATAATATTTTCTCTTGATGTTTGGTTTTTTGCGTAGAAGCAGGTCACACCAACCACGAAAAAATTCCTCAGGAGATTTGAATAACCCTTAACCTTTTTTTCAACGTGCTGAACAGTGAAAATGCCAGTTTTTTGACGTGTAACTTGGAGGTAACCAATGTATCAAGTCGTTATACAAATAAACCAGGACCTTTTGCGAGCTTTGTCTAATTTTTTTTTAAGTCTTGAATGTATAATGTTTGATATAGTATTCATTGAAACACCAGAAAACTATATTATTCAATTTAATTTAAGACTTGATGCGTGTAACTCAATATTATGTCAGTTTGGTGACGCTATGCGTTTCAGTTTGTGGCCACTCAAGATATTGTGCTTGTGTGCAGATTAAGGCATGACTGAGTGCGGAAAAGGAGAACTAACAGACGTGCACCTGATAAGTCCACATATTTCTTCCAATTTCAGCATAATTTCAGTTTTTTCCATGATTTTTGGAGTGTCTCACTTATTCAATGTCACTTTGGTGACGCTGTTTTCCATCAAAACTTTTGGTGGAGTATGCAAGGAATATGTAAGCAAATATTTTTTTCTTACATCTACAGGTGGTCTCTCGACCTAACCTCAATGATTAGTTTGATTTTGTTACTGTAAATTGGCAGAAAAAATTAATAACAGCAAAATGTCAGTTTGGTGACGTCACCAAACCTGACATGTCCAAACCAAACTGACATGTTAGGCTTGGTAAAGAAAAATAATCGTAAAGATAATGCGATGCAAGTAATTAAATCCTATAGCACAGAGCTTTAAGATAACAGAAAAGTAGTTTGTAGCTTTATATGGCCAAATCACTTTTTAACTTTTTTTCAGAATCATTTTCTCCCATTAGCTGAAATCCACCCTTAAGCAGAATTTTCTGTCAGTAGTTGACACAGGCCATTAGTAATTTTATTAATACTATGACAATAATATTCTTAGCCTCTGCAAGTGGGGAAAATGTATGGAATGTATGTGCCTTCACAGGATGAGATCAATTGAATCTGTAGCAATTTTTGAACAGATTCTGCTCGAAGCACAGATTGGGTGAAAGTGACTTATCTGTTAAAAATTTCTGCATAGGATTTTGAAGTCAAATTAATTTGTGCCTCACAACACCTAGCATTGGTTTCTTTTTACATCCTTTATGATGCCTATTTTGTTTTAGTAAATGGTGCTGGCTTGGCCATGGCTACAATGGACATCATCAAGTTGCATGGTGGAGAGCCTGCAAATTTTTTGGATGTGGGTGGTGGGGTCACTGAAAATCAGGTTCTCAACGCATTTAGTATATTGACCTCTGGTTTGTATTTCTACTTCTTTTAATTCTCACTTTATCATGACAGAAACATTTGATTTTCCCCTCCATGTTCAAATATTTTCCATTTTTTATGTCCAAAAACGCATTTTAGGACCATTCTTTCAACATGGAGGTCAAACAAGCACAGTATTTGTAAGGAAAGTTTGAATTCGGATTCTGTGGCCCGTGTGATGATTGTGGTTGTACGAAAAGTACTACCTAATAAATAAAGTCTATCAATTTTGCAGGAAACCGCTTTTTTTTATCACTATTGACCGGACTAATGGGTGAAAAACAGAGAGGGAGGCGATGCTGCTCAAAAACCAGGTTCCACCCAGGAGAAAGGGCTTAAAATCTGCTTACCAAATTCAATGCTAGATTTTTAAATTCCCAATAAAAAAAGTGTAATTCAAAGGGGTCTGTTTATTGGAAATTTAAGCTCCGGTATGGATCCTTTGCTGCATGCTGTTGGTTATTGACACAATGTCTTTACATATGCTAAAATGTTTGTTTCATTGGAAGTAGCCCGTTCCTGTCGTTCATTCATTTGGAAACACACTATGATCAATGAGTGACTCTTTGTCTTCCCTCTTTCCCTTCGCACTCAATACAATCCAGGTTGGATAGGATTGAAACGGGGGAGGGGGGGGGACTATGTTCACACAGTGATTATTTTTGGGAATGCATTATAATGACAATTAGCCTGCAGACAACTAGCCTGCAGCCAACTAGGAAAAATGAATAAAATAAAAATGATTCTTGAGTCAAATTCCAATCGAACTTTGTGTTAATCTTTCAGATTCAAAAGTTAGATCCATCTTGGTCAATGTTTTTGGAGGAATTGTGAACTGTCGCACCATTGCTGCAGGTGTGATTGGTGCCGCCAAAGAAATGGGATTGAATATTCCTTTGATCGTTAGATTAGAAGGTTTGTGTATATTTAGCGGTCACATCTTTCTCTTAAATTACCTACTCAAAAAGGGAACACATGGTCACACAAGAATGACAGTGTACAGATGTTCTTTTTTTGTTCAGAGGTTAGGTTGAGGCTTAGGTTGCGTTCCAGAATTCATCGCGATGTAAATCGATTGAATCGGTTGTGCATCAAAGTGTTTCCGGGACCGATGAATAGTAGACGATTCATCGGTGCAGATCCATCAAAGCGTTTTTGGAATTCTGATTGATTCCATCGCTATGACGTAGAGTAGATCAACCGAATCAACCAGATCAATCGTACTCCGGAGTTCGATGAAGCCGATGCACGCCGATGTAGATGACGTCGCATGACGTAATTAACCTCCAAATATAAACTAAATAAGTAAATAATATTTCCTGACAATGGACAATTTTTCCATTATTCAGTATTCTCCTTTTCTATAAGATGTATTAGGTTTTTTTAGTTTATTTCGAATGGGAATAACATTGGGAGCCTGTGATAATTCGTGGTTTTCATCTATTGACTATGAAATTATGTATGTATCCAGGAAGTTTTGATCATCTGAAAGTGTTGTGTTGCCATGGTCATGATATTACCCGCGGACAGATTGGTACTAACAGATCAAAGGTCATTTCATTTTAATTTTATATTCTGCTGCAACTAGGCTCCAAGTTAATTGGCTGTAACATTGTGTAAGTGCAATATTTGAATACCTTCGTCCTTTGACAAAAGCAAAGTGCGCTAGTGGTTTTCCATCGGCACTATGAGCTATCAATTTGATACATTTTCACCTACCTTTCCGTGCCATTGCCTATCGCTTTCAGCATTGATTCAAAATTATTTTTCGATGTTAACATGGAAGTTTCATCACTAATAATTTGTATGAAGAGCTGAATTTATCTCCTGCTATAGGAATGTTCTATAATGGTTTGCAACGCCATCAATGCCAACTGGACACATTCTGCCTTCAACCCCAGATGAGTAGGGCCTACCCTCAGTATAAGTAAGTAAAAATTGAAGTTGCTTTTTCTTCATCTTAGAGGCAGTTCAGAAAATATCAGACATGCATTCATATGGGTGTTTGAGTTAGCGTCACACTGTTATATCTTGACGTAAGTGGGGCCCGTAGGTCACAAAAGCATTATCAGAGGGAAAGGAGAGGGATCAATCCAAAATTGAGCGCCATATGTTTAATAAACAGCCTCATATCTGAATATTCTTATTCATAATTAATTTTCACTAGGAGAAGTTTCGTTGGTCTAAGTACTTCAAAGAATATACAAAATATGAGATTTTCATCCAAAATTTCTGTAGAATAGGACTTAACATCTTTGGACAAAGTGTCAAAGAATGAACACAGTCTGCGAGTCTGTGGAAGTCTCAGTACTGAGCTCTGACGCAGAGCATGATTGAATCGTCTGAAATGCTATCTAACTCATTTAATAAATATTGATAGTTACCAAGGTTTTGTTGCGATTGCTTCCACTGAAAGCCTTGTTACAAAGCCTGCCAATAAAATTTCCTGAAACCAGGCAAACTTGCTTGTCCATCTGCACAACCTTAGTTCTCAAGAAATATTCAGTGGCTCAGCTTCCTTGTTGAGGACTTTAATGCTCTCCTCAATGGTTGATTTCTCGCCTGAAGTTGTTGGGGTATTCAACAATGTGTGCGAACAAAGTAGCGACAAGCCACTGAGAAAGCGATCAGGACTACTTACGTATTGAGAGAAATGCTTACTAACACTTAAACGGACAGATGATTCCTGCAGGATCATCTGTTTTGACTGCCTTTAATCAGCTGGTGAGATCAAACATCAGATCTCTAGCATGTAAGCAGAAAGATAGCATGTAAAGATAAGTGTACAAGGTGTCCAATGACATGGAAAGAGCAGTTACAAATAACTTCAAGAAAGCAAAACACTCTACGATAGCAACTTCACATGGGTAAACTTTAACAGATGGCAGGACAAGATTCCAAACAAATCCTGCAGAATAATCGAAAAACTCAAATGACTGAATTGCCAGCTATTTCGCTACTAGCATGAAGCCCCAATCACTTAAAATTGAAGAAAACGAAAACAGATTGCTTCGCTGATAAGTGATAATAGTAAACAAAACAAACCCGTTCATCGAAAATTTCATCAAAGCGTTTTTGGGATCAATCGAGGATACGTCATCTGACCTTCCATCAGACTCCATCAGTTACGTCAGCATGACGCCATGTTCTACTATACTTCTGATTGACGATCCATCAAAAAGATGAATTCTGGAACGTAACCTTAATCTCTCTCTACTCTCCCCCTTGTGCCCCCCCACCCCTCTTTTTATATAGTACCTCATGAGTGTAGTGTATACGGCTGCAATAGTAGTGAGATCATGTAAAACATTGCTGAAGGTTTAATATTGCCAATTCTAAAAAATATCAACTATTTTCAAATTTTGTGAACTTTATTCCGCTCCTCTGAATTTTTTTTTCCATTTCTGTTGCCAATTCATTACAAATGATTGAGGCATAACGTGGTCTCTTGCGAAAACCATATTTTGATAAAAAGCATTTGAAGTTTTAAAACCATGCAATTCAAAGAGGAATGAGTAAATTGCGATCAATTTGGCTTGTAAGTAGGGAAGGCTTTGATCTGAATTTTTTTTTATCAATGTGCTGTTTCAGAATAGCACAAACAGAAGGTGCTCTGAGGGCTGTTATATATATACATAAAATGACGATTTGAGCCCATTTAACCTCTCCTAAACCGTCCATTTTTGAGATGTATGAATGGAAATGGCATAAAATTCGTGAATTATGCCGTTCAAGATATTTTGAGTTTAAATTGTTATTACCTGTACCTGGTGCAGGGAAAGCTGGTGGAGGGAAGCAGTGGGGAAATCCCAGGAACTGCAATGCACTGCTCCACGTTTTGTCTCTGCTTTTAACTGGTATATTGCACCATGCGCCATCTCCAAATGCATCAATGTGACTTCTCTGCAGCGCAGATTTTTTGTTGGCATATCTCATTGTGCTATCAGATCATAACCAAATTTAGTACACTTTTTCTTCAGGATATGAAAAATCAATTAAGCTGTTCTCTGCATGAAAGTTTGATCTCAGGCAAAGTTCTTTGGCAAGTTTCAAAATATTTTAAGAAATTTCATGACAAAAATTTTCAAGAAATGTTCCATCTCTGATAGTTAACCTTCTTCTTTTCTCATCAGACACCGCGACAAGCCATTTGCAACGTGGTCCTGAACATTCCTTATTGAGTTTCTTACAATTGATTTTTCAGATCAAATTAAATTGATTCGAATAAATCAAATTTGAGTGTGACTTAGCATTATGGTTCAAGTATGCAAGGTTCAACTACAGTGCATATAAAAATATGTTTACAAAGTAGTGAAAAAAAGAATCATCACAATGCTATAAAAAACTTCACACACCTGGAAACTCTAATGAAGTAATACAAGCTTTCTGCAAAAAAAAAAAAACAAACGAAGTGGTTATCTAGCGGTACGGAAGCAAGGAATAAAATGTTATTCGGCGGTGGGTACTGTCGGCGGTACAGTACCGTCGAATAAAACCTAATTTGGCGGCACAGGACCCTGACTAGAAAATCCTCTAGGTATTGCTATGCTGGTGCCTTTATCGGATAACTTTATGACTTCTAACCAGAAAATTTCCTACCGCTAAGGTGCCTTTACCAGATGACTTTTAACCGCTAACTGGAAAACTTCCTACCGCTAAGGTGACTTTACTGGGTGACTTTTTAACCACTAACCGGAAAATTTCCTATTGCTAAGGTGCCTTTACCAGATGACTTTTAACCGCTAACTGGAAAACTTCCTACCGCTAAGGTGCCTTTACTGGGTGACTTTTTAACCACTAACCGGAAAATTTCCTATTGCTAAGGTGCCTTTACCAGATGACTTTTTAACCGCTAACGGGAAAACTTCATACCGCTAAGGTGCCTTTACCAGATGACTGTTTTACCGCTAACTGGAAAACTTCCTACCGCTAAGGTGCCAACAGTAGGTATACATGCTGCAGGTAACATTATAATGCTAGGCACATCAGGCCGAATGTATATGCACTTAGGTAATTCAGTGCTTTGATGTCCACGTAAAATGTAACTGTTCTCCGTATGCACTTCAAAATTTCTGCAGATAAATGTACTTAAAAATTTTACGAATATTGCAATATTGTATTGCTATTACATGCAGTCAAGAACTTGACGAAAACACGACTGATCAGGGAAAAGGTGCAAAATTTTTATGGTAGTCTGAAACTACGAAGCCGGTTTCTGACGTGAGCACTGGTGGGTCATAGATTTTAACGCGTCCAAGATTTCTTTGTTTACATAATTTCACCAATAATACCAATAGATCACTGTAAATGGTGTTTGCTTGCTCATCCGGTGGAAGAATCTTACTGATAGAAAATTTTCTGGTTAGCGGTTAAAAATTTATCCGGTTAAGGCACCTTAGCAGTAGGAAATTTACCAGTTAGCGGTTAAAAAGTCATTCGGTAAAGGCACCTTAGCTGTAGGAAGTTTTCCGGTTAGTGGTTAAGAAGTCTCCAGTAAAGGCATCTTACCGGTAGGAAATTTTCTGATTAGCAGTAATAAAGTTATCCGGTAAAAGCACTTTAGCGGCAGGAAATTTTTTGCTTAGCGGTCACAAAGACAGAGCACTAAAAGCAAAAAATGAAGCTACTTTTCAACCACCTCTACTATTGGCTAGAGGATCGGGACAAGTTTGAAATTCAAATGTAGGGCGAGATCTGAATAAAATTGCGTAAATGAAGTATTCTAGGTTGGTTTTTGTCCAAATTCACTTACCTACATTTATTTTTTTAAACTTCAGGTCATTTTTGGTCCGTCATGGACCGATTAATTTCATTTGGGAGTAATCGTCAACTAGGACTGTAACGGCCTATTTGAACCGGCAGGACCACCATGAGCAGAAGAAAAACTACTTAAATTTATCTGAGATCCTTGCTTGTTACCGAGCCAAAATAGGTGTATTATACCGAGTCACTGTCCCAACTTTATTTATTTGTTTGTCTTAGTGACTTAAAACGAGTTTCGAAGAAGAAATGAGGAAAAAACAAGAGGACAAGTTCAAATCAAATTTCCGTTTGCCGCCATGGATTCCCGCGCTCATTTACGCATTCACACAAGCGCCCAGCGCCAAACCTGGCTTCACTTTTTCCCCGTGCTTTTAGATACGAGCACTCCGTCTTTGTGCAGGCACCCTGGCACCTTGCGGCACCCTTTCTCCATATATCTGAAACTAATGAAGATATGCTCTTGCTAAGTTCACCTTTGAACAGAGAATGCTTCACTTAGTATTGTTTCATGTTTAAGTCGTAATTTTTTTTTTTTTGCTCATAAGGCGTTTTTCCTTAGCATAGCAACAAAGGCCCTTGTAGATAACACCCATTTATTTGTACCGTTTCAGGTACCAATGTACAAGAAGGGAAGCAGCTACTTGAGTCTTCAGGTTTGCCTATTCAGTTCGCAGATAATTTAGATCAAGCTGCTCTCAAAGCAGTGTCAAGTGCTTAGTGCTTCAATTTTTTATTGTTTCTTTCGTTTTTTACTTTTTTGTACTCTTACTTACCTATCGATTATTGTTTCTCTGTTTAGCCCTTCTCTCAAATCAAAATTCTATTAAGAAGTGTATTTTTCAACAAAACTGCCTTGTTATTTTCACTGGACTCGATTTTTAGCTTGTTCCGTGAGACATGCAAATGTTTTACCTAAAAGACATTCATCAGAAGTGGCAAAGCTGTTAAAAAACATGTAGTAATGAGATTCGTTTTTTGGTATTGAATATGTAAAATCCGAATCCAACCATTTTAATGAACAGTTAGTGTGGAATTTGCGATAATTATTAAAAGACCCCGCACACTCCTTATGACGATGTGTGCCATGATCTATTTTTCTCTTTTTCATTGCATTAAACTCGTCTTTTGAAGCTGATCAAAAGTCATCATTGCACCAAGTAAAATTAAAACTCAGCCATTATAATAGACAAACATGCAAGATTTGGCCTGATGCAATTCTGTGAAAAGGACCCCACACACTTCTTATGGGGATGTGTGCCTCGATCGATTTCCCATTTTTATATTGCAATAAACTCTTCTATATTTGCTGATCGGAAGTCATCAGTGCACCAACTTTCTATAAGGCACTGTTTTCACACAATCCGTGGTTGAAGTTTCTATAATTTCTTGAATAAGGGATAGCAATGAAAAACTGGAAAGATCCCTTTACCATTCTGCACTTGAGGACGGTCAAAGAAAAAACAAGGAAAACAGGAACATCAATGCATCTAGGTAAATGGTGATCAGGAGCCACTACTGTGTCGAGCGGCAGTTTTATCTCGGATTTTGCAGGCCTTTTCGTTGCACCATCCAAATCAATTTCTCTCTCTCCCGGCCTCTCTTTCTTGGGTCTCAAACTGACTGGAGTTTTTATTGTTGATAGATAGCCCATTCTGTAGTGTCAGAAGAAGAAGGGATCTTTTCGACCCTTCATTACCAAGCTGTCCTCTCTCATTCAAGGAATTATTGAAACTTCAACCATGGATCGCGCGAAAACGGTGCCTGTAGAAAGTTGGTGCAATGATGACTTCCGATCAGCAACTATAGACGAGTTTAATGCGATATTAAAATGGGAAATCGATTGTGGAACACATCCCCATAAGGAGTATGTGGGGTCCTTCACACAGAATTGTATCAGGTCATCTCTTGCTGTTTGTTTATTATAATGGCTGAGTAGCTTAGCCGATTTCAAGGGTATAGTCAGGGAGAAATACTGTTTGACCCGGGGTAAATTGCATAACAAACTCTTCCTATGTAAACATCATCAGTAAGTCCTTCTGGACCACAAACCAAACGTTTACCACGGTCCGACCCCTGAATAACCCCCAAAATGCATAAAATTCAAAATGGCCATAATAAGGCCGTATGGGATTTTGGTATTTTAAAGTGTTCTTGTAGTGTCTTGTGAGGTATCATTTGCTGCGTAATTTTGGTTGCAGATTTCATATATGAAATCAAAAAAGCTCCCGAGTCCAAAGGGGTACCCCAAATCCAAGATGGCGGCCAAATTTGAAAGGCAGGAGGGTCAGTTTTAACTTATACCAGGGTGTCGAGCATTAGGATTTTCCCGATTCTTGCAGGATTTGAGGTCAATCAGAATTTAATCCCGATTTCATCAGGATTTAGAGACCCTAGTAGCACAAAGACGTAAAATTTACAAAAAAAAATCGTAATAAAAGTCGTAAAATAGACCAAAAGTGATTCTATACCGATGCAGTCTTTTTTCCAAGAATAATCCGTAAAGAGTAAAAGATTTTTTATGTTAAAAGATTGAGTTTCTTTACGTAAAAAGTTATGCGCAAAAAAACTCCAGCTTCCTAAAATTGATGAAAATGATAAATCGTAAAGAAAATAATAGACTTTTTGCTATCTGGATCTGTCGTCATATAATTCTCCTTGAGATCAACTTTCAAATTATTATCTACGTGTCGGGTATTGAACCTGGGACATGCCTATCAAGAATCGAATGCGCTACCTACTGAGCAAACGAGGCTTCTGTATGAGAGGGGTGAATTTGCGCTGTATAAGTGAATATTTTTATTGTTGAATGTGCGAGAGAAGCAATTGCTAAATATTTTATGAATTTGGAAAAACTGGATAAGGGCAAAAACTAATATTTATCATGGATATTTTAAAGATAGTATACCTATTTTCAAAAGTACCTTTGTTGTTCATGAATATGTGAATAAAAGTATGTAGGTACACTTTAATAATTTGTCCCCCTTTTTTTCTTTTTCTTTTCTTAAATTTTATTATAATATGCATCAATTTTTATTATAACATGCATCAATTTTTATAAGAATGTCTGAACTATTTTAATAAAGATGAGTTATTAAAATCTTCTTGAACTTTTAAAAACTCTGGTGTCTTCGTTCAGAACAATATGCTTTTGTATCCAGTTTTCAGGCTATACTTTTTTTACAAGAAATCTTCAGGGGACATTAGAATTTTTTGCTTAATTTCCTTGTAATAAAAACTACAAAGGTATTTCCTGTTCGGTCAATTTAGCGAATTTTCAGTGCAGACATTCTCCCCCAATTCTCTGGGTGTTCCCAATACTTTTTAAATTAAAAATAGATGCTCAAAGAGGTAAAAAAGAAACATAGTGATTTTTTACGTCAAAAAGTCAGAAAAAAATTCAGTGACGACAGTTTTGAACGTAAAAATCATAGTTTCAAAACGAAAAAAATTTGTATTCCTTGAATTTCTTTCTGACCTTTTTTTTACGTACAAAATCTATGATTTTTTACGTATTTAATTTTTTTTCTGCATTTTTTTCCTAATTTTCATATGTAAAAATTGCGAATTTTTTATGTAAAGATGTCAATTCAATCCCCCAATTTTTGTTTTACGTCTTTGATCACAAATTTTTTATGTTAAGTTCTCCGACTCTGATTTTTTACGAGTTCTTTTATGTACATCTTTCGTACTCGTAAAATTTACCGGTTTCAATTTTTTTTTTTTTTTTTTTTTTTTACGAATTGTATTACAAGATGTGCTACTAGGGAAAGTCGTCTGTCCAATCCGATTTTTTTATCGAGCTATTTTTGTGAAGTTACATTTGCTTAATTTTTCTCTGCCAAAAATCAGTATTTGATCAGGATGTGGGAAAATTATGAAATCAGTATTTAGCAGTCAAAAATTAGGAAAAATCAGGATTCCCCAAAACAAAGCAAAAACTAGACACCCTGTTTTCACGTGACTGGGCAAGAGAGGTATCAGTTCCTATGTTTAAATTTGGTCGCAAATTTCATATGTGAGGTCCAAACAGCTCCCCGGTTAAAAGGGATGCTCTTAATCTAAGATGGTGGCTAAATTTGAGAGGCAGGAGGGTGCATCTTTTTTAGATTTTTACAAAAAGTTATGTAAAAATTCCTATGTAGGTAATTTTGGTTGTAGATTTCATGTATCAAGTTGAAATAGCCCCCCAGTTGAAGGGGCTGCTACAAATCCAAGCTAGGCGGCTAAATTGGAAAGGCGTACGGCAGCATTTGTTTTAAGAAAAAAAATCTCAATTACCATGGCAAGGAAGGTGGCCATTTCCGTGTATATTTGGGCAACGAGTCTAAATGAAGCGTAAAGAAATTAATTTTACATAAAAATGAGATGTGTCATGCAAGATGGTGACCATCCTAGCGGTTCAGGGTATGAGGAGAATTTAAAAGGAGCACCTAATGAGTTATTTTCACTCATTTTTCAATTCATTAATTCTCAATCAGGTTGAGGATATTAAACGTGACTTATACCTTCTCTAGTCAATTTAGGAGAAAATCTGAATCAGCCTGCTGATTAGAATTCTGAGTCAGGCACATCAGGATCTCCTACCTGTGGGCAGTTTTTATAGTTGAAGTCTTCAAAACTTCTGTGGAAACCTGAGGACGACCTTACAAGTATACCGCATGGTGTCAAACCCTCTCTTAATATCACACCAGAAGATTTTAAGCAGCTATTCTGGAGCTGAAGGCAAGTCTGTTAAAAATGGAGTGAAGCCCGTTTTCATTCATTTATTCCCACTGAAAAGCATCCAGATTAGCTTTCCGTTCACTGTTGGATTCGAAAGTAGCTCCTAAATTGATGGTGCTTTACGGCTGTAAATATTGGAGTTACCTAATTTCTATACTTGCGATGAAGATTTTGGAAGCTGCAGCTTCTTGCTTGTAAACAGGATGACGGACGTCTTTGAGAGTCTCATTTTTTGGCACCTTAGAGCAATGTGTGTTAATGTTAACCTTTATGTGGTATTGTATGAGCCGAACGGCAAAGAAAACGGACAATGTTTACTTAGCCTATTTGTGCTTATTTCCCATGAGTCGATAGTCTTTCTAGAATATTCTTTTTCTTGCGAAGCGAATCATTAATGGAAAAATAATTCACATTGTTCGGGAGCAGATGATACTTATAAGGTTAGTGCTATGAAATTTATCATACAATTGGAATTATAATTGAATGTATTTATATCGATCTTTGTTTAACAGTTTTATTTTTTTTTTTTTTTAAAGATAACTTTGATTTATTATTTTGGTTACAAGTTAACAGTTTTATTGCATCTGCAATAGGTTGTGTAATTCATATAACTGAAACTTTGTTCAGGCCTTTTCATGATTGAGAATAATTAATTATCTTACGTTCTAAGAAGATAAAAAAACATTGTAAGCAGCACTATACAGGGTGTTCCAAATGTCCAGCCCCCCCCCTCTCTAACTTTTGAACGGTTCGAGATAGAAAAATGAAACTTTGGGAATGTTCCTATCTCAAAGGGTACCATCTTCCGGGGGGGAGGGGGTGTCAAAATTTTGGTCCCTCATCTGGGGGGCCTACTTTTCTTTTTTTCAAATGACAATCCCTATCTTGTGATATCTCATTCGAAAGAGCATAAAAAACTAAGAATCTTGACGCAAACTGCAGATCAATATCTTAATTTTTGACCGAGTTATGATAGGTCAAAAATCAAATTTGACCTATTTTCGACAAATCATAACTCCTGTTCAAATTTTCGTAGAGAAAAAAATAAAACGGGAAAATTTATTAAAGTGTGTTCGCTTTTAAGTAAAAAATACAGAAATCACTTCGAACTAATTTNGGGGGGGGG